AATAACATATATATATATATATATATATGTATATATATGCAAAGAAAAAAAAGATGGGGAGGACGTCAATTCGGATGAAGCTCAAAGTGGATTTTTAAGACCCCCCCCATCGCGATTGCGCGAGGTGGGGTTGATCGGAAAAACATACCTGCCATTTTCTGAATTTAATCACAAAGAAAAATTCCGATTATACTTAGCTTAAATCCGTAAATTAAGTTATCTCACTAAAGAAGGGTTATAAAATATAACAATGCAAAAGAAAAGGGTAACAAACAAACCTTTTCTTTTTTTATTTCTCAATCTTAAACTTAGCAACAAACAACCGCCTTTCCGCCTTCATTTTAGCATTTTTTCTTAGTTATTTAATTCTTATTGTTCGGCTTCAAGGTGTGGCTATGAGCCTCCAGCACGCACAGCGCCTCGGTAACGCGGTCGGTGAGCTTCTTCTGATCGACGAGCAGTTCATAGGCGTCCATCGGGTCCATCTCCAGAAACATCCCGGTAATCTTCGGCGCGAACTCCGGCGTGGTTTCGTAGACTTTGATGAAGAGCCGATCCCCCAGCGCGGCGCGCTTTTCCTCGACCGACATCGCGTTGAGCTCGTCAGGGGTGATCGGCTGGAGCGGAGGCGTCTCCGGCGCCTGCCCGGGCGAATTCCGCGGCGTCATCGCGGGATTTGACGGGGAGGGCCGCATCACGATCGGGCCGGCGCGCCGGGCGTCCCAGGATTGCTGGGGCTGCGGGGAGGGCTGCTGCCAGTCCTCGCCGGGTCGCGGGTTGCGCGGGGGCTTCTCCGCGTACGACCCTTTCAACGCCGCGGGCCGGCTCTGCAGCTGCCGCATCATCACATGCAGCCGCTGCTGGAATTGCAGGCGGAGCATCGTATAGCGCTGGTCCCGCCGCTGCGCGATGTTCACGATGAGCGGTTTGCCGTTCAACATCCGCCCGTTCATCTCCCGCAGCGCCGCGTTGGCCTGGTCGGGGGCGGCGAAGCTCACGAAGCCGAAGCCGCGGCTCACCCCGCCGGCGTTCGTCATGACGCGGCAGCTGAGGACCTCGCCGTACTCCTTGAAAAGCTCGTGCAGGTTCTCGCTGGTGAAGTTCGGGTCGAAATTTCGCACGTAGAGGTTATTCCCCAGCGCATTGCCCTGCATATATTTCTGGCGAAGGGCGATTAACCGCTCGCTGCGGGGCTGGGCGCGCTGGACGTAGAGCGTCTCGCCGGGCGCCGTGATGCCCTCGATGTGGTTGTCGTGCATCGCCGCGATCGCCTTGACCGCCTCGTCATGGGTTTCGAAATTGCAGAAGGCGAAGACGCGGCCGTTCTTGTCCCTGCACGTCGTGGCGGAGGTGATCCCGCCAAATTTGGAGAAAAAGGTCTCGATCAGGGCCTTGTCGACCGTCGGGAGGACTTGCTTGATGTACACATTCGTGAAGTTCGCCACCAGCGCAGCGAGGCGGGCATTGCGCCGGATGAAGTTCGCCACGTAGAGCGCCCGCTCCTCCGCGTTGCCGGACTCGGTCGAGCCGTTCATCGTCGCGATCGCGTCCTTCGCGGCGGTCTCGTTCTTGAAGTGCACAAAGCCGTAGCTGCGGCTCTTGCCCTGCTCGTCCTCCATGACCTTGCAGGAGAGAATGGGGCCGAAGCGCTCAAAAAGGTCGTTCAGGGCCTTGCTGTCGACACCCTGGTTGAGGTTCTTGATGAAGATATTCCCGCTCCCGCTATAGCGGAGGGCGGGGTCGCGTTGTTGCCACATCAACCGAATGCACCGCTCGCCGACGCGCTTGAAGTTGAGCGTCTCGATCGCGCGCTTGGCGTCGTCGTGGCTGTTGAAGTTGACGTAGCCGTAGCCCAGCGAGCGCTGCGTGATGATGTCCCGACAGACCCGCACGTTGAGGATCGTCCCGAAGCGCTTGAAGAGGCCCACGAGCTGGGGCTCAGTCACGCTGGGGTCGAGGTCGCCCACATAAATCGAGGCGATCTGAAGGGCCTGCTCGGATGGCACGGGGGTGTCAACTTGCGCCATGACCATCGTGCCAGTGAAGTCGAGGATGGTATGGAGATGTTATAGGATGGGTTCTTTGGGGTTATAGATATATATATATATAAAAAGAGAGAAAGGCAGAGACAAGATGTATATATTGGGAAAGTTATATTTCTTTTCGTGTGTTTTTTTATTGAAAAGCAATCTGTGATAATAAAAACTTTAGAAATAAATATGATAAAGGAAGTGTGAAATAAAAAATGATTATGGCTTTGGTGTGCATACCCCCCTCCCCATTCCCATTCCCATCCCCACCCCCCCAAAAAAGATAACAGAAATGAAGTACTGGGGTTCATTTGAACCATTATATTTATGATACTCATTTTACATGGATCTAAAATTTACACAGCAGGAACATGTTCTCAGCTCTAAACGTGATATTAGAAAAATAAAGAGAACGTGCAACGATAGATTTTATCATTAAATTAGTATATATATATACATACATACAAAAACGTTATGAAAAAATTTGAATTCAACGTTCATGTGGCCTCGAGTTTCAATTGAGTATAAAAATACTTAACAAACTTCTAGCTCAATAGGTAAATAAGAATCACACCTTTTCAAACATAACTCAACACCGAAGAAATAAGTTCCTCTCAGGCAAGAACTTCGTTAAGACTATAATATCCCGTGGGATAGGTCATATTGTCCCAATAAAATTTAACCCCAACAGATTACGAAAGAAACAAAATAAGTAGGATATGTAGCGCACTTCGTGAGGAAGTAAGAAAAGACCGAACCTCAAAGTAATTCTATGGTAATTATGGAAAAGTTCTAAACCTCCAAGAGGTGCATGAAATAACTAATTATTCTACATAATCTAGCTTTCTCTTTGCATTTATCGCGTCAAATCCCATAGTGCCTTTCACACCGGTGAATGGTTGAATAGAAAAAAAACGTTAAGAATAAAAGACTGAAAGAAATGCGTCATAAAACAATTCCAGTGGATAAACAAACTAAATCGTAGAATTAACCTTAGTTGCACACACATTGACAAATTTTGAGTTATTCTTCGCTCCATCTTGCTGTGAGGATCGCCATTGTAGGTAATCAATAAGTTCCACCTGTTTGGTATATTGTATATGCTTGAAGTTATGGCGAAGGCGATTAAGATTCTCGCGGCCGATGCTGGAGCCGGTGTGCAGAAGGTGGTAACCAGGGGGGCGACGTTCAAGGGGTTCATAGGGGTCCTGCAAATCGAGAAGCACGTGATAGTTTCGAATCGATTGAAGGGGTACTCCCGGATGTCTACCTTTTGCTGGGTGGTCTTCCACCGCGTTCTTCTCTCCGTTTGCCTTTGATTCCGATAATGAAATCATGATCACCTCCTCCCACTCCTCGGGCAAAGCGAACTGGCCATACGCGTTGTTGCCCTTCAACGGAAACACCCCTTTATCGAGGAGTCGCAGGACGTCCGAAGATCGATGCGGTTGGGCGGTT